GTCTACGCCAACTCAGAAGGCTTACTCTACACAGGAAAAATGTCCACATGTGTTAAACATGCGTTTAACATACCCCGGTATATTTTTTACACATGTAAAACAAATAAAAGGAGCACACGTGTATAGGGTGTTTATTTTTACATGTGTTAAACATGTGTAAAAAATCAACACATGGTAAATTTCTACATATGAAAAGTGTGTTAAACACGTGTTTTATGTATGTTATACTTTATATGTGAATTATACGTGTATAATATTACTGTTGGTGCTTCTTATTATTATACTTCTTCATTCCTGCCTTTCAAAATAGTTTCATGGTGATTGAAATATTTTTCTGTAGCTCATGAATAAGCAGGCCTTCCTTGTAGTGGTTGCGTGGCTCCTTCTTGAACAGTATACAATGTACAGTATACACACACTCAGCTCTGCTCATACTTCTGTCTATAATAACTTTCCTTGAATGGATAATATATTGAAATAACAAGTTAATATTGGTATCAAGTTCTTTATTTCAGGTAAAATTAACATTTCTTTTTATTGTTCTCTATCCTGCTTCTACAATTTGGAGGAAAATAAAGAATTACTTAATTTAGAAAGGAAAAAAAAATAGAGCTTAAAATGTCATGATAAATTTGTAATAATCAAGCTGTCTTACCTCTTGATATCTCTAAATTTTCTTCTCCTCTTTCTCTTGGAGGAGATCCCAAGGAGATCCCAAATATTCTGTCGATCGTCACCCAGAATAGCGTCATAGAAATCTGAAAAAAAAGAAAAATGAATTGTGCATGATGGTGTTCAATCTTGCAAGATTTCTTCCTAAGTAGCATCAGATTCTCCTTATCCTTGATGTATGCCATTTCCAAAGGAGAAAGATCAAACAGCTTATGCAAGAAGATGCGGACAAGCAAGTAGAAATAACTAAAAGAAAAACACTCAATTTTCAAGCAATTCAAATTTTATAATAGAGATCTAAATTTGCATGAATGATAAAGCACTATTATATGAGCTTCCATTACTCATACTCATAAATAGTATTTATTGATGTATGGATTTTAATTTCATAAAATTATACTGAAGCTCACTTAATAATAAAATTAAGCTTCAGTAAGACGAAGACATTCAAACAATTATAATTTTATAGATGATTTTTAAATTCTCCACCGCGATTGTTTCACAGTGTTTGGCATTTGACAGCGAATTCAAATATTTGTTTTATTGAATTTGATACATCCATTGCTGCTTTTTGCTTCAATGCTACAATCAAAGAATGTGGGCTACTTTTGAATTAACCTTGCGGATATTGTCATAGTAGTTAGATTTTCAAATATCATTCAGAATCCATTATTTTGAAGATTGATGAGCTTCACACTTATTCACATTGTTATCTAGATGTATCTAGAAAGAAACATATCGATTTGTAAATAAACATACTTACTGATTAAGATACTCAAATTGCTGTCATCATCCGTTGGTGGCAGGTTTGTCAGTTCAGGATTCTACAATGAAAGTGAAATATTGAATTAATATAAATATTCATTGAAGAAATTTTTGTCAACTAAAAGCTGTCGTAAACAATGCATTGAATGTCAAATGTAAATTACTAGTTTATCACTTACATGAGCTGGTGTGGGGTATGCACATCGGTTGTGGCGGATTTAAAACGATGAAGCTTTCTATGAAGTGTATAGTTTTGCTATAAGTAAAGTATCAAACAACTCGCAAATTGCCCTCAAATGGAGAAGTACTGACGAGTGTGTCACTTGTGGGGCTGTCATTGGTAAGCCTAGCACTGCCGCTCCTACTGAGGGTGACACTGCTTCTCTTGTCGGGAGTTGTACTAGTGCCCTCACTTGGGCTGTCACTGCTCGTCCTGCTGGCGGAGGTACTGATCCTGCTGGGGGTTGCCACACTGCTGGTTCTTGAGGGGGGGGGGGGGTGCAAGAACCTGCGAGAAGTTTGATGTACTACATGTATGTACTTTTATGCTGTATAAACTATGATATTCAAAATTATGGATTACTATGGGACTGTGAAATCTATGTCAAATTTAATAAAAGAAATTTTTGGTTTATGAACATTGATGAAACTCATAATATTTTGTGTCAATTTTATTAGTTATATAATGCATTATGGAATCAGACAATATTTGTTATGTTGAACTTAATTTGGGAGGGTTGCTTATTGGATCTTAATAATCCTAGATCTATTTTGTTTATTATCCCCTCGCGCAACTAGTTGCGGAGGGGATATAGCATCGCGAATGTGCGTATGTATGTATGTGTGTGTGTGTGTTAGTGTGTTCGTTACCTTGTGGGCAGGATTGACAGAGAACCATTGCATTAACTTTTCTCAGCGTTTACATACTTGTGTGGCAGTATAAAAGGACGAAGCCTTTTAATTGTCAAGTCCATTGATGGAATATCTCTTCAGATATCGCGTTTTTACTGCCTCGAAACACTGACATTCCATGTAAGAGTTGACAATAATCATTTGTGGGCAAGATTGACAGAGAACCTTTGCATTAACCACTCTCAGCGTTTACATACTTGTGTGGCAGTATAAAAAGACGAAGCCTATTAATTTTCAAGTCCATTGATGAAATATTTCTTCAGATATCGCGTTTTTACTGCCTCGAAACACTGACATTCCATGTACGAGTTGACAATAATCATTTCAGCTAGGGAACCAGTTTAAAAACCGTGTCGAGTCTGTGGTGACAATATTAATAGAATTTGATGAACGTCGCGGTTTCATTACCAAACTCCACCAGGTGTCTGGAAATTTGGGATCCACGTTAAATTGAAAGTGTGTGTTGGGGGGGGGGGGCTAAACCAACATAAAAGGTAAACCCCAATTTTTCAATGCATAGAAATTGTCAAATTTGCAAAAAAGTGGGAGGCTAAGCCCCACCCCACCCTTGTTCCGACGTCTATGCCACAAGTTCAAATAAACTCTCGATGTACATTGTTATTTTTCATTGCGAAAAAAATGCATATTGCCTGGAACTGTGAAATATACTAATTAGGTTTGTAAATAATTAAAATTACTGAGACTTGTACATGTAGCACGCGTGACATGTTTCTACGTAACTAGGCTGATAGATGCTGGTACAAAAGGATCCCTCACTGCTCAATGGCCGTCAGTGCCTATTATGAGAAAAAATGGGCAGCTCTTTACGGACAAGCCTTCATATGAGCAAAATACTCATGAGAGGGACATTAAAGAAGATAGGTTGTACTATCAATCTTGGACATGTTTAACGTCCCTCTAGAGAATTTATCTCTCATGAGATATTACCATTACCAGAGATGTTCCTGTCGCGAGGGGATGCTCCGCTTAGCGGTGCCCTTGTTTAGGAAATGACACATAGAACATAATTTGGTACATGGAGCATAACTATCAATCTTTGAAATGTAAACAACCAAATGATGTATTACTTACACATTTTGTCTCTGAATCACCGAGGTAGAAGGTGATGGGGTGATCAAAGTCCAATACAATTGAAGTCAGATCTTTGCAGTGGTGGGGGGTGTTCTCGATCTCCACAACACGTACAGTTGTTGCTGTGAGAAGGAGAACACGGCGGTCATCAAAATAGTAGAAGGAAATAAATTCTGATTCAATGTACCCGCTATAACCCCCCCCCCCATCCAATTACACCTATCAAGTGTGCACACCTCCTCTAACCTTATTGCCCCTAGAGCATTAATAATTAACAGAAAACACATGATATTAACGGTGACCATCGACATCCGACATATCGTGAATTTCGCCATTGCTCTTTGATGCGCAATATTCAAAGTGTCGAACCCGATCAAAATGAACATAATACAGACTAAACATATCCTAAACTATTTGTCATCTCCCTCGGGAAATGACACATTAAGATTGTATGCCGGAAGTGAAGTCCTAGTGTAAGCCTCCATTAATCTTTCGGGAATCCTCGATGTTTTACAATATCTCAAGTGAGAATCTGAAAAAGGAGTTCCAAGTAGCCTGTAAACTGGTTTTCTTTTAGAAGAACTGTAACGTGTCGAGCGGAATAATAAACAGCAATCGGGGGTCGTACCTTGTTGATTCAAGGTTTTGGGGGATGATTTCCAATATAATATAATTTTTCTTAATAAATGATTGACAAATGATTGATTACAAAGGCCTTCAAAATATACAAATAAATGGCCAACCTTATCTAGGTTAATAATCACAGTGCTTTAGAGAATTACAAATGATTGGGAAAATGGCAGTGGGTAGACTATTTCTAATGCTGGCCAACCTCGGGCTGACGCTTGTACTGCAGCCTTATTCAGGACACAGTCAGTACAAGTGACAGCCCTTCAACTGCTGTGCACACTGCTAGCCTTATTCAGGCAGACACACTGCACACAACAGCCTGGTTGCCAGACAGGTCGACAAGACGAATTATAGATTTAGATGGCTAACCTCTGTTGCTGGTTAGCCTCTTGAGTGGCTTGCCACTCAGAAAACACAACAGCTTTTATTTATTGTTATCCTCTTAGACTAGACCTTACTTATTTCATAAGGTCGACTTCTTTTGTAAGTTGACTTTATTTCATAGCCTCACTTACCGCTGTTGATATCTTAGCACACGTCTTGTTTGCCACACAGCTCGAACTGGAAAGAACGCTCGCTACTGCGATTCAGGCTTTATATACTTTTTAAAGCGGATGTTTACGTCCACATCCTAATCACCGAACCCGAATGATTACAATACAAATTTCCGGAATATTACACTACCCACGCCTCCGATGACATGCGTCCCGCATGCAAACTCAAAAGATCAACAATTTTTTTTTTTTTATTATTAATATATATTCATTTATCTTGTGTTTTTTTTTGTTTTTTTTTAAACAACAAAACTGTATTTATATGGCTGACCAAAATAGTCAACAAAACAAGAGCAGCAATAAAAGTAGCAACCACTGAATAACACTACCTGTGTTAAATGTACCGGTAAGTTTCAATTTAATTACTTGAAAATGTCACTTGTAAATGAATCTTTCCTTTGTAACGACCTTGATATCTGCCTCTCCTTCACGATACTTCTTTGTCGTTTTGGTCACAACTTCTCTCTTCTTTGGGGATGGCTGTGTGTAAGCGTCAACTCTGTTACTTTCTACGGGTGTTACTCCTGGTATGTCAACCTGGATTGAAAAATCCATACAAGTGGTCTTCTTTGGAACAGGGATCCCCTCCAAACTTGGTCGTTTTCTAGTGAATGGCAAAGTTGGCTGAGTCTTCTTACGGAAAACTCTTCCTTCTAGCAAATTGCCTTCTATCTTCTCTGGATCCTCTTTCTCTTTCTGCTCATCAATATCATCTCCTTCATCACTTGAGTTACTACTCGATGAGTTGGCAGAGGAAATCTCGCCTATAACTTCACCAGGGTCCTGGTCCAACCAATCTTCGTTTGCGCCTTCATCATCTTTGTTTTCGTCACCAAACGAGCAACCTGCCTTCTCCGGATCCTTATTTTGTTCTTTTGGGCCCAGTTTAATGGGTTCATCATTTGGTCCCAATCCAGGGTGACATCTTTTGACGTGTCTTTTGAGGTTAAGTTCCCTACTGTTTGTGAAATCACATATGGGACATTCAAAAAGCCTCATGGCACAAATCATAATGTGCCTCTTAAATTCGTCCTCTGTCCGTGCAGGCTCCGAACACATTGGACACCGCCGATATTCTTTTCGTGTGGTCGTCTTAGTCTTAGCCATCACTACAAAAATATACAAACATAAAAACTATATAAGTTTCCTAATAATTTCTTTTTACATGCATACTACAGAGACTATTAAAAATCTGTCTCATAATCATGCAACCAACTGGGAGGTTTACGATGTCTGCTAGGGCGATGGGACACTGGGAGTTCATCATTAACGCTTTTGTCAACATCACCACTCATAGGGCCAGTGTCCTCAAGAGTTTCACTCGTTGACAACGGCTCGTCGTTGTCCCCTGATAAAGTCTGCGCATACTTTTTCCGCATTCTGTCAACATGAATGACCTGATCTGATCCTCTTTGACCACAATTGACCAGATATGTTAGGTCAAACATTTGTTTTACTACCTTAAATGGACCTCGCCAATAACTTGTGAACTTGGGTGAAGTACCTGGTTTTCTTCTTGGGAAGAAAACATAAACCTCTTCACCCGCTTCGAAATTATGCCATTTCAATTTTCGGTCATGGTAATGTTTTTGCCTGACCATTGCTTGATTCATCCTTGTTCGCACAAATTTATGAGCGTTTTCCAGGCGTTCTTGTAAATACCATGCCCATTTGTTGCTTGGCACCTCTTTTATTGATGGAGGCATCTCATACATTAAATCCAGTGGCGTCGACACCTCTCGCCCAAACATCATCATATTTGGTGTCATCCCTGTTGTCTCATGTACCGAGCTTCGATATGCCATCATCACAAAAGGAAGATGGACATCCCAATCAGTGTGGTGCTCGTTAACAAAACCACTTAGCATTGTTGTTAACGTTCTGTTGAACCGCTCCACCATTCCGTCCGACTGTGGGTGGTACGGAGTGGTGTGGTTTTTCTGGATGTCCAACAGTCTGCACATTTCCTTAAAAAGGTTGCTTTCATACTGCGGACCCTGATCAGAATGTATGGTGGCTGGTACTCCAAATCGGGAAACGACTTCTTCAATAATCTTTGTTGCGACGGTTTCTGCCTCCATGTTTGGCAATGCAAATGCTTCCGTCCACTTTGTAAAGTAGTCTGCCACAACAAGGATATACTTATTCCCATTTGATGTCATTGGCAGTTCACCTAACAGATCAGTCGCTAGTCTTTCCATTGGATACCCTGTGAAGACTAAATGCATTGGAGCCTTGTTGTTTTGTCTAGGTGCTTTTCTCTTGGTGCACACTTCACAGCCGCGAACATAAGAATGAACATCCCTTTGGAGGCCTGGCCAATAGTAAGATTGACGGATTCTCGCAAGTGTCTTGTGGATACCAAGATGGCCCGCTGTCCTTGAGTCATGGTAATGTTTCAAAACATTCCATCGCTCCTGCTTCGGGACAACGGCTTGCAAAGTATCCTGCTTTGTAACAAGATCTGACCACCTTCTATACAACATTCCATTGTCAATGACCAGTCGGTCCCACTGAGAGCAAAGGGATTTCACAACAACAGATTCGGACGCAATCTCATCATTTTTCGGTTGCTTTCTCCTTTCGAGCCAAACTTTTACCTTTTTGATATCCTCATCTTCATCTTGAAGACATTTCAAAGGCTTTTCTAGGATCAACTTGTCTTGGGTCTCAAGTTTGTTTACGGTTTGGTGAGTCAATTCATTATGGCTGACTTTACACTGCTTGCATGGCAATCTACTCAGACCATCCGCATTACCATGTAGTCTACCTGGCCGATGTTCTATTGTAAAGTCATATGTGGATAACACATCCATCCACCTAGCAAGCTGTCCTTCGGGGTCCTTAAAATTCATCAACCATCTCAGGGCGCTATGTTCTGTCCTTACCGTAAATTGTCTGCCGTATAGGTAATGCCTAAAATACTTGATGAAGTGTACAACAGCCAGAAGCTCTTTTCGGGTTACACAATATTTTCTTTCGGATTTGGAAAGACTTCTGCTGGCAAAGGCAATTGGTCGTTCAACACCATCCTTTATCTGTGACAATACTGCACCAATTGCATATTGACTGGCATCAGTATCTAGGATGAATCTCTCGTTAAAATCTGGATGAGCCAAGACAGGAGTTGTTGATAGCTGCTTTCGAAGATTGTCAAATGATACCTGACATTCATCAGACCATTTGAAATTAATACCCTTCTTTGTCAGATCATGTAATGGCTTGGCAATATTGGCAAAGTTTTTGACAAATCGCCTATAATAACTGCAGAATCCTAAAAATGATCTTAACTCTGATACATTTGAGGGTACCTGCCATGTCTGAACGGCCTTAATTTTATCAGGATGTGTAGCAATCCCCTTTTCAGATACGACGTGTCCCAAATATTCTGCTTCTGTTGAAAATAGAGTGCATTTGCGAGGCTTGAGCTTTAGTCCCGCAGCTAACAATCGATCAAACACTTGTGTGAGATTTGAAATCATGTCTCCTACCGTTTTTCCAACAACAATGATGTCGTCCAGGTATACAAGGCATATCTGCCATTGCATACCTCTTAGCACAAGCTCCATGAGACGCTCAAACGTAGCAGGGGCGTTACAAAGCCCAAAGGGCATAACTTTAAAACTATAAAGCCCTTTTCTGGTTGCAAATGCAGTCTTGGGTCGATCTTTTTCTGCAACTTCCACTTGCCAATACCCGGCATTTAAGTCTAATGTGGAATAATACTTGGCACCCGATAACTGACCTAGGGAGTCATCTATCCTAGGAAGAGGATAAGCATCTTTGACAGTTGCATCGTTTAGCTTCCTGCAGTCAATGCAGAACCTAGTCGTTCCATCCTTTTTCTTAACCAATACAACTGGAGACGACCAGGGACTGGTGCACTCTTCTATGATTCCTCTTTCTAGCATGTCGTCAACATGACGGTCTGCCTCTTCCTGCATATGTACTGGCAATCGTCTTGGATGCTGCTTAATGGGAGCATTCGTACCAGTATCGATAGTATGTTCCGTCATCTTGGTTTGTCCAAGATCAGCATCAGTCGCAGCAAATAGACTCGAATACTTTCTTAACAGTCCTCTTACTGCCTTGGCATCCTCTGTGGTCAATTCCTTGACTGACCGCTGATACAAGTCCTGTAGATGAGAAGGCAGCTCTCCTATCTTGTTAATGTGACTGCTCTTTTCATACACATTGTCGACAGCCGACAGGGTGGCAACAAAAGTACCTCTATACAAATTCTTTGTTTCAGTAGATAAATTCATAAGTCTGACTGGAGTGACTTTGCTACCTCTGATCAAGGTCCTGGCTACCAAACCCCGATCTGATTCTATAAAGCGATGCGAGGGTTCAATAACACCCAGGTTTGGCACTTTTTCATACACAGGTGCCACAACATTACACATGGCAACCATTTCACTACATGGAGGGATTGTGATATTGGCAGCTAGGGTAACCCTACAGCAACCTATTTTCCCTTCGAATGACAATTTTACCCGCTTACTTCCTATCAGCATAGAAGAATTTGGCAAATCAAGCGAGCAATTTTTAGTGGTAAGAAAATCAAGCCCTAATATGCCATCAATACCAACATCAATTACTGTAAATTTCTGATTGATTGTCAGGGCAGACAACAAGAAAGAAATTGATATAGAACCTTCTACATTCATTGCAGTACCATCTGCCGTAAGAACGTCCTGGTTGACCTTGTCAAGAACTGGTTTGTATCACCCATCACCGAATACAATGTTGATGGTGAAATGATGCTAACGGTTGCCCCAGTGTCGATTAGAAACTTCACTTTACTACCGTTTATCGTTGCATCAACAAATATACCGGCTTCCCCTGCCTTCCGACTTACACCAGTTCTACTTGCATTTTTGTCTGCCCCCTTCCCTTGTCTTGGAAAAGAGGTGGGCTTTTCTTTCTCTTTTAACCTTAACTTCTTCTGCATATTTTGATAAGAGTAACAATCTTTCTTCATGTGGCCCTTCTTCTTGCAAAAGTTGCAAATTATGTTTGACGATGTACGCTTCGTAGATTTTGAGTTCTGTACTGCCATCTTGATTGATTTCATTTCCTCTTGCATGTCACGTACTACCTTCAACAGCGTGGTTACGGTGTCTTTGTCTGATTCCAATGGCTGGTTGGCCTCTCTCAAATAACCTTTATCTTCCTGGAGACGTCTTTCAGCAGAATTAAATGCATCTAACTCCACAGCATGACGTATCGCATCATTCAGGTCAACAGGCCTTGCTTGTTTGATGCGGATCCTCATGTTGCTGTCCTTCAATGCATCAATAAATTGCTCTTTCGCAAGGGTTTCTCTGACATCTATCGGGGCAGTAGGATACGCGAGGTTGGCCAGCCTGCGTACATCCTGCCCAAGCTCTGGCAATGTTTCAGAAGCCTGTTGTCTCCTTTCTCGTAATTGTGCCCTGTACAGCTCTGTTTGGTTAGGTGGCAGAAATCGCTCTTCCAATGACCGGGATAATAACCTGTAGTTACATTTTTCTCCTTCTGGAAGACTGCCCAGCACCGCCTGTGCCCGACCTCGTAGGGAAACAGCTATAAGTGCATGCCTTTCTCAGAGGTTGTCCAACCATTCAACTCAGCACATACATCAAAATGAGATTTGAAGTCTAACCATGAGGTAGTACCATCAAACTTATCTGGCTTAACATGGTTACTTTTATGTTGATCAACATTTGCCCTTACTGGTCTGCGTGTTGTAATATTTGTAAACAGAGGGTCATCCTGTCTATTTCTAACAAAAGGTGTACTTGTCAAGGAAAACCTATCTGGAGGCTTGTCATCTGACCTACCTAAGCTAATGCGGCTCTCAGGCTCTCTTCTTTCTGATATATCAGTAGGTAGAGTGGTCGTCCTAACTAATTTAGGTTTCGCACCCATTGCCTCATAATATTCATCATCTAAGGTTGTCCGCCTGCTTTCAGGTAGACCTGAATCTTTAGCGGTCTTTCTTTTATCTTCATCAAAGCTTGCCTGAAGTCTACTTAGCTCTCTTTCGATTTTAGTAAGGTCATCCATACTACTCATACTAACAAAAACGATTATTGGTAGCTACTAAAGTTAACAAGCAAATC